AGACAAGGCGGCAGCGGCAGCCAAGAGCGAAATCATGAAGGAAGACAAGCTTCACAAACAAGGCGGGAGCGGCAGCCAAAAGCGAAATCATGAAGGAAGACAAGCTTGGGAGACAAGACGGCAGCGGCAGCCAAGAGCGAAGTCATGAAGGGAGACAAGCTTGGGAGACAAGGCGGCAGCGGCAGCCAAGAGCGGAAGCATGAAAGCTTGGAAGACAAGCCGGCAGAGGCAGCCAAGAGCAAAATCATGAAGGGAGACAAGCCTGAGAGACAAGGCGGCAGCGGCAGGCAAGAGCGAAATGAGGAAGGGAGACAAGCTGAACAGACAAGGCAGCAGCAGCAGCCAAGAGCGAAATCATGAAGGGAGACACGCTTCACAGACAAGGCGGCAGCGGCAGCCAAGAGCGAAATCATGACGGGAGACAAGCTTGGGAAAAAAGGCGGCAGCGGCAGCGGCAGCCAATTTCCGCAATCAGAAACCCATCCATTGAGAAGTAAGAACCCCTATAGCTTCGCTATCTGAACCAAAGAACTGAACACTTGAGAATGTTACAGTACTACTCATAGGTTCACGGGTGAGGGTCGGATCGGTCACCAGGATCGGTCACCAAGATAGTCGGATCGGTCGCCACGGATCGGTGACCGGAAATCACGGATCGGTGACCAATCTTAACGGATCGGTCGCTCGGTCGCCAGGATCGGTCACCGGAGGTATAGCGAAAGAAAGTGAAACAAACGAAGCCGACCATACCGGATCGGTCGCCACTAACAAGCTTGCAAACCTGCATGCTGGACTTCAATGTACGCTGGCATCATCTACATCACCCGCATGCTCCTACTCAGGCTGCCCAGGCATGGCGAACAAACCAGACAGGTATAGCGAAGGAACGGAAAACACACCAAACCAACCACCAGAGAGGTCTAGCGAAGGAAAGGAAAACGTACCAAACCAACCATACCGGATCGGTCGCCGGGATCGGTCACCACCGAGGTCTAGCAAAGGAAAGGAAAACAAACCAAACCAACCATACCGGATCGGTCGCCAGGACCGGTCACCAGAGAGGCCTCAGGAAAAGAAAAAGAAACAAAGCAACCATACCGGATCATACAACGTCACAATTCCTGAGTCCAGACATTTTCCCAAAATATTCTAAACTCAAGAAATAGGTTGTTGAAAAACCATGTGTGTGTGAAAACACGTCAAATGAATTCGATCAAACCTGGGCTGGAGTAGTCACCCAACCTGAGCTGGATGACAATCTCGGCGGAACGCCTTGAACTCGCAGTTGGTAAATTACGTATACGCTGGACTTCAATGTCTGCCCAACAAAAGCATTATCTACGTCACAGTAGTAGTAGTAGTAGTCGTAGTCGTAGTAGTCGTAGTAGTCGTAGTAGTAGGTAGTGGTAGTTAGTAGTAGTTAGTAGTAGCTAGTAGTAGTAAGTAGTAGTAAGTAGTAAGTAGTAAGTAGTAAGTAGTAAGTAAGTAGTGGTAGTTAGTAGTAGTTAGAAGTAGTTAGTAGTAGTTAGTAGTAGTTAGTAGTAGTTAGTAGTAGTT